TTTATAAATTTAAAACTTGGCCACACTATTTTTTTGCAAATTTGGCCCACACACGACTGCACAAACCAAGTTTTTGGCGCCGTTGCCAAAGACCAAGTTGATTTGATCGACCTAAAATTTTCAGTATAAACACCCAATCAAACGAATGAAGACCAAGTTCACAAGCAACTACCAAAGATTCAGTTCTTTTCTCTTTTGATTTTCCTGCCTTCCCCACTTCCGTGTTCATATTTTTCACCTGCCTTCCCCACTTCCACTTCCACTTTCATGACCTAAAAAATTTGGGAAGGAAAATGATAAGGGCATTTTAGACTTTTTGAAATATAAAATAAGGATATTTTAGTAAAATTCCTTATTCGGATAATTACGAAGTATTTCAGAAAATACATGAAATATATACATACACTATTATCTCATACGCGATAAAACTGTTGTTACTGTGTTTTTTTTAATTGACGTGGCCCAATCTGGGCCACACATCCAAACCGGCGAGAACAGGCACTGGAGATGATTTTTCCCTGTCAACAGCCGTACAAATAAGTTTATGTGAAGTGCAAAAGGTTTTGCTTCGAAAGTCACTTACAAGGGTAAAAGGGTAATCTTCGTTATCTTCGTCTTTTCATCTTTTGGACAGAATTATGACTTATGAATAACAGGTGACTAACAATCCCTTGATGCTTGTGGGTTCCACAATAACCCTGGGGGGCATAGCTATATTAGTAAGATTCTACAGGTAAGTCTTGGAGATCTCGCTTTTAAATCGCATTCCTGATTTAAATTGTACATGTGTTGTGAGGTTGATACACGTGCTCTAAGAGGAGGAAAAAAGAGAGAGTAAAATACAACCACACCCTTTGAGGTTTGACAAAAGGACACACAGATAAAAATTATCCATTTTTTGGAAAATAACACCCCCCTTTCTGAAATTCCATCCAAATAAAGCCTTAAAATATAAAAAGATAGAATTACCCCTCAATATTAAATTAAAATATATTACAAAATATCAGACTTTGCAAAATAACACAATAACCCCTTATTCATTTTTTCTCTTCTTCTCTTCATATCACACCGTTTATGCCTTTCTCTTTTTATCTGCTAACATATATATATATATTACAACACCACCACCATCACCGGCAAGGCAGGCCTACGGGTCGTCGGCCGTCGCCGCCACGACACCTACCCAAACCGCTTTCCTGGAGTGGCACCACCGCATCCACCAACGACGACTACGACGAGTCGAGCCAGTCGTCCGATCCCTCCTCTGCCGCTAGATCAAGGTTTGTATTCGTAGCTAGATCAAGGTCAAGGTTTGTAGTGCTTTCCTCATTTCTGGCGTAGGTGTCAGAAGATCAACGACAGTTTTGCCGTCGTCTTAGAACGAGTTGTGGGCACTGAGTTGGATAAAGAGCTAGGAGTGAACGAGTCGACTTAGTCGGGACCATTAGCAAACTCCAATCGGATCTCTTGAAGAGAGAGAACGGAGAGGGGAGAGATGAGAGAGAAATGGCTGTGAATGGGTTGTGGATGAGAGATAAAGGGGGTATGTACATATATATGTATCAATCTTTGCAAAATCTGGGTTTAAGGGAGAGGCAGTGGACTTGGTGGTGGATTTGAGAGGCGATGATTGTGTGGGTGGTAGCGGCAATTGATGATTGGGATTGTGTGGGTAGTGGCGACGGCGACGATTGGTGATGGGCTGGGATTACGATTGTGTGGGTTTTGGCGGTGGCAGCAATGGGTAGTGGTGGTGGCAGTGGCGGCGATTGGTTGGGATTAGGATTGTGTGGTGGTTATTAAGCAAAAAGAATCCCACCAAGGTTTGGCATATCGGGGAAGGCAAGAGGCACTATAATGCCCAAAATTTTCTAATAAATTCCTCGATTTATTTAAATCCAAATACATCAGTATTACACCAAGGATCATAAAAACAATATTCTTTTATTAATACAAAATCAATTCCTCAAATAAATACAATATCTCTCAAAATAAATTAAATAATTCCTCACGCCAACTCTTCCATCTAAGCATGCAACTAGTAATTCACGGCACCTGAAACTGAAAGGGAATGAGATTGGAGAAGTCCTAATAAAAAATACCATAACAAAGATTTCAAAGAGTTTCATAAAAAATTAACTTCACAAAAATATACATATATTTTTAAACAAAATATATATATATAATTTTAACAAAAATAGCAGTTAATACAATATTTAAAATAAAATCATTTGAGCCATTCAAGTATGAAAAACCATACCCTGCAAAATTAATATTCTATCTGAGCATCAAACTTTTTACTTTTTTTTTTTTTTTTTTTTGGTTGGAAGGTAAGTTAGTAGTATATATTAAAAACAAATAACACAAATCATTTGCTAATGAGGCCCAAGATTGATGCTCAAACTTCCGCACTGTGAAATCTCGGCTCTCTCTCTCTCTCTCTCTCTCTCTCTCTCGGTGTATTTCTCTAATTGCTCTTCCTTTTAATCGTTCCAAAGTCGCAAAGCTTATACAAATATATTATATATACCCACGACCCCACAAACATCAGCCGACAAAAATCAAATAAAATCAAAGGAGATGTACCCGCCGCCCACTTTCTTATCTTCAAATTATTTATCCTTATCATGTATCTTCATTCATCTGATACCTCTGAAGAAAATAACAGCCCACGTGCACAAAGTCAAGCCAAAAGAGTAATTGGCCAAAGAGTCATTTGTGGGACCCGCCTATTCCCACCTGCTGGGAGTCCCTTCTTTTATTCTCTCTTATCCCATCCGAAACTTAATATTTGTACATGTATATCATATGTGTATATATATATATATAAAAAGTAAAAAAACCAAACAACCCATAAATTCTGAGGTGGGACACGCACCAAAATCATCACCATTTCCTTTCTCTTTCTTTTCCTTCGGCCAGCCCATTTCTCATTTCCTTTATACTACCTTCCACTTCTTTCCATTATACACAATTTACTCGGCTGCATTCTTCTATTAAATTCGCACATGCTCTCTTTTCTCCATTAAACCAAAAAGACTATATATATATATATATATATATATATATATATATATATATAAAATGCAACCAATCAAATCAGCCCATTTAAAATCTCAAACGCGTAAATCTCTAACTTAAAATTAAATACTCAATCTTGACATTTAAAATCATAAAATATAATTTAAATTTTTTTAAAAATTCGAGTTATCACATACACAACAGCAAACTAGCTAGGAAAGCGCGGATTGTCATAATAATGAATCCAAAAGCCATCCATCTGTTCCCAATAACCAAGTTCTCATCTAATTAAGGGATGTCGCACGCGAGACACACACAGAGAGAAAGACAACATTTTCGAGCATGGGGTAGGGCGTCGGGCAACGATTATGTAGTGTGTGTGTGTATATATATATACATATATACATACATACAGAGGGAAAGGAAGAAATGTTTGAGTTTGGGTTTAATTCAATACTTAAGTCAATTAAAATATCAAAAAGTAATAAAGTCAATTCACCATTATCAAAATTTCCTTGTCCATTTTTCAAATTTAAAGAGGTGTTATTGTCCAAAAAATGAATAACTTATTTTTTTTTGCCAAACCTCATCTCTGAGGTGTGGCTTTACTTTATCCAAAATAAAAAAAAGCAAAAAAAAAAACTGATAATCTGTCCCATTAAGCATCTAGCTTATAGTTAGCTGTGTGTTGAGAGATCCCAAAAAACTCAATCATGCATGCAATTTCTACAATACTGATTAATATATTTCTATATATTAGCCCCACAAGAAGCCATTTCAACCCATACCCCCACGATATGTCCTGGAGCAAGGCTACCAAGGCGCCTAGGGCCTCAATTTGAAAGGGCCTCAAATTTAGTGCCAATGTAATATAGAAGTATATATATATATGAAATGAAATGTCACTATTTTTCATAATTGAACCCAACTAACCATTTAATCAATTAAAAGACATCCAATTTGGATAATAATTTCAATAAACAATAAACAATCATATATTATGTAAATTTATGACAATAAATAACTCTCAAAAAAAAAATTATGACAATAAATACATACTTATAATATCAATTTATATATGTAATACAATAATTTGTTTCTATCCCTTTCCTTCAAAAGAAAAAAAATGATTTTTTTTTATATTTAAACAAGAAACTGATTTATAATTTTGTATATCAAAATGTAAGACGGTCACATTTACTTTGATATGAAGTTGAATTTTGATTTTTGTGACTAAATTGTGTTGGATATTTAAAAAAATTTAATATAAATTTTTTGTTCATGTTAAACCTTATATATAAAGAATCTCGTAGTTAAAAATTCGTCTAAAGCCTCTCAAAAATTTTGAGAATCTCATAACCGGCCTTTGGATGTTGAAGAGAAAGGGCAGATCATGACCAAAGAAAATAATAGCTATAAAGAGAACGAAGAGAATTGGTTGAAGAACAGTATCATTAAAAATAATTCAAAGGACCAGGACCACCACGTGTCACTCATTGAGTACTTAATTTACCGATTTCATGTCAACATTTTTATGGAGAACTTAACCCTTTCCACCCCAAGTCTGTGGTATGTCAAGTTGTCGATGAATTTATTGAACCCAAAGTACCAAAGTACTTGTTTTAATCTGTGATGAATAAGGATATATAATGGGAGGAAGTTTTTTTTTTTTTTTTTTTTGATAGAATGCAATAGTGAGTGAATCTTCTCCAACATTGGTAAAATTGGTACACATGAATTTGAAAATTTCAAATCACTTCTCCAATTATATATATATCTATAGAGTGAGAATCTATAACACTAAGCAGCTAGCTAATTATATTTGGCTATGGTGTGAGTGAGCCAAAAAACTCAATCATGCATGCAAATACTTGTCAATTTTTTTCTTCCTTAACGTACTTACATAACATTGCAATGCGTACAATGGTTTTGATTGATTATATATATGTTCCTATATATTAGCACTGGATCCTAATTATCTATAGTGGAGGAAGATCTTTCCAGAACTCTTCACTCTCTTCCATACTTGTCCGTGTCTCCAACGAGTTGGGTCTGGGCTCTTCATTGCTTCCGTACTGCGAGCTTTGTGGCGTCTCTGTTTCGCTATTCATCGCCTGGTCAATTGCATTCGGATTAAGCTCTTCGTTTTCTCGGTTTATTTCCGAGTTTGAGTTTGATCCCTCTGTATAGACTGTATTATAATCTGAGAGTGGGAAGTTAAGCTTGGCTTTGGCTCCGCGGAACACAATGGCAGCCTTGTCATAAGCCCTCGCCGCCTCCTCTCCTGTATCGAACGTGCCCAGCCACACCCGCTTCGCTTGCAGGGTATCTTGTATCTCCGAAGCCCACTTCCCCCACGGCCTCTTCCGGACTCCCCTGTACTTCTTCTTCTCCTCCTCGTCCTTGGACGTCTCTGCACTCTTTTCCTTCTCTTCTTCATTATTTGGCGGGAGAATGTTGTTCCCACTTGTGGAACCCTGGAGGGCTTGTAGTAGATTGGTGGTGGTGGGATCATCACCATCACAGCCGCTGATCACGTGCGTGAGAGCCGAGACGATGACCGAGTCTTCTTGTTCTTGGTACTCCGTAGAGAATTTCTGAACTTGCTTAGGGTTCATTTTGAAAAAAGATGGAGAGTTGTGGAGAGTTTTTTTCAAACATAAATTACATATGTATAGGCGTTGAGGGAGTCTTCGTGGCATCCAGATGTACCAAGTAGGACCGCGTTTTGTGTGCCCGGATCGAGAAGAAATCGTTATCTCTTTTTTTATTGGTCAGGGCTTGAAAGTCAAAAACTGAGTTTCACACGGTCGGCGTCCCGTATGAAAGTCAATGGTCATTGGACGGTAGTTGCAGCTTGTGACTTGTGTGGGACTTTGAGGTGACTGGGCGTCAAAAAAGGACAAAAAGAAATTTGGTGTATTGATTTGTGTTATTTGCCGTATTCTTTGATATGCAATTTATTAGACAATTTAAATCAATTAATTTACACTAATTTTATTTAAGTCCATTATATCATATCAAAATTAATCATGACCCATACTATAAACCATCGAATGAAAACTACACATATATCACAAATGAAAATAATGAAAACTACACATATATCACAAATGAAAATAATGAAAACTACACATATATCACAAATGAAAATTACAATGTTGTGGGACCAAAATAATATGAAACAAGTAAAGGGGCAGAATTTGCCTCAACCCCCTGTGGCACGTGAAATTGCTTGGTATCAATGAGAAATTGATAAGTGTGAAATTACTTATTATCAGTGCAAAATCTAAGAGGAAAATGTTACATATTTATTGTGCTTCCAAGCATTTAGTTGATCTTTACTAAGTCTTAATCAAGGAAAATGGGATAAAGATAGAAATGAATTTCATATGATATTTGCGGGACATTTCAGATTTCTATGAGGAATACTAATCATTTGATTAGTAATAAAAATATCCACACTGATTATTTATACTTCCTTTTATCACATATGTTAAGTATACATTTATTTTATTTATACCAAAGTTTCTTTTGACACTTAAATATGAAGTTTACATGGCTGAGTAGACAGGGACCTGTTCAATACATTAACTAAAGGTAAGATGTATTTCTTATGGACAGTAAGACCGTCACATACAATCCTTCGAGATTAAAAATATTTTCTTACCTAATTTTGACAGATGCTAGTGCCAGTACAATATCAGGTCCCACCAACTTGATAGAAGGTTCCGGACGAGCCAACTTTATTTTACCACGTAGAATAAGATTACAAATTAATGATGCCTTATATTTTTCAAGATCTCGGAGAAATCTGTTGAGTTTTAAAGACTTGCGTCGTAATGGGTATCATGAGACCGCAAATGAAAGAAATGTGAAATATTTCTACATTACTTCCAATATCTCATACAAGAAGTTGATACTAGAAAAACATATTAATTCTCTTATGGGTATTATTATACCACCAAAAGCATGTTTATTTATTTTATAGTCGTAGTATTTTATTTACAATTCTTCTCCTATCTGTTTATGAAATATGTTGAACCCCTGACACGAGATGTCTTTATGGCATGATGTGCTGGTTATCATTTTAATGAGATTGTCTTCCCACCATAAGGGGTAGAAAAGGTAAGACTGGTAATGATTATCTATTTGATCTTTGTACAAAGAAATATGAGCAACAAATTCAAAGGAAAATATGAACAAAAAGGTCAAATGATCATTTATTTACAAATTACTGCAAATCAATTACGAGGTGCATTCACTGACACAAAGAAAATAATAATATCATATGTTTTAACTGAAAAAATAATATCACCATGAATTGACATCCCAGTGGGATAGTTTGTCGCGTTGCAAATGCATCTAAAGCACGCATGAAGCGTAGCAGACCACTCGATACAAAAGATTCTGTTCCATGAAAGTGAAAAGCACTAGACAGAAGTGCATGTTACTCCTGATGAGGTTTAGCTTGATGAGACAGAGACACTTAATGTGGCACATGCAAAGGAGCATGATGAAATGGGTGCTTTTATAGAGACCTAGTTAGGTAAAAGTGATAAAATGAGGCACCTGCCAAAGAGCATGATGAAAAGGCTACTCTTGAAGACACCCAATTAGCTAACAGAGATAAAGTTGACCTTAATAAAATATATATATTCCTTTTATATGGCAAAGGGACCTGACGAGGTCAAGTTAGCTAACTATGATAATATTGCAAAGGTACCTGAAAATAATGAGGTCTCAATAAATTATGAAAAGAAATGAAATAGAAATGAAGTTGTCATGGACAACGTATTCTCGTATACAATTGCTCTTAATATAAATAATGAGGATCCAAAATCTCAAAATGTCGAAGAAAGTCGATGAAGATATGATTAGCAATCATGGAAAAAAGCAATATAGGCAGACCTAATTGCATTAGCTAGGCGAAAGGTCTTTAGACTGATGGTCCGGACACCTGAGGGTGTAAAGCTTGTTTGGTACAAATGAGTGTTCGTACGAAAATGAAGTGAGAATAATAAAATTATGAAATATAAAGGTCGACAAGTAGCTCAAGGTTTTCACAGAAACCTGATATTACTTATTAGGAGATATACTCTTCTATAATAGATGAAATCTCATTCCACTTTATAATCAATTTGGCAGTCACAGAAAAACTGCATATGCATCTAATGAACGTGGTTATGACATGTTTGTATAGATCACTAAATAGTGATATTTATATGAAAATCCAGAAGGATTTAAAATGTTTGAAACAAAATGACGTAATATGTACTCAATAAAATTACAATGATCCTTATACGGATTGAAGCAATCTGAGTGAATGTGGTACAATTGCCCTAGCGAGTACTTACTCAAAGAAAGGTATGTGAACAATCATCTTTGTCCATGCATTTTTATTAACAAATCAGAATCTAGTTTTGTTATTGTTGTAATATATGTTGATGATCTGAATCTCGTGGGAACATTGGACGAGATAAAAAAGACGGCCACATATTTAAAGAAAGAATTTGAAATGAAAAATCTCAGAAAGACAAAATTCTGCCTTAACCCATAGGTTGAACATTTTTTGAGTAATATTCTCATCCACCAAACAACATATACAAAAAAGGTTTTGAAACGTTTTTATATGGATAAAGCCCATCCATTGAGCTCCTCAATAGTTGTTTGATCACTTGACGTCAAGAAAGATTTTTTTCGTCCTCGAGAGGATGATGAAGAACTCCTTGGTCCTGAAGTGCCTTATCTCAGTGCGATTGGTGCTCTTATGTATCTTGCAAATTGCACACGGCTTGATATAGTTTATTTAGTCAATTTATTAGCAAGATACAGTTCTGTACCAACCTACAGACATTGGAATGAAATCAAACACATATTGCGATATCTTTGTGGTAAAATTGATATGAGATTATTTTATTCAAAAGAGTTAAATTCTTAATTAATTTGATATGCAGATGCTGACTATCTCTCTGACCCACATAAAGCTATTCACAAACAGGATATGTGTTACATATGGTTGTACTACTATATTATGGCGATTTATGAAACAGACAATGATTGCAATTTCTTTAAATCATTTTGAGATACTTGCAATTCATGAGGCAAACAGGGAATGCATTTGGTTAAGGTTAATGATCCAACATATTCAGACAACATGTGGTCTCTCATCAATAAAGAATAGCCCAATAATATTATATGAAGATAATGTGGCATGCATTACATAGATGAAAAAATGGTATATTAAAAGTGACAGGACCTAGCATATCTCACCCAAATTATTTTATGCATATGAATTCCAGAAAAAAAAAAAAGGGTGATATTGATATTTAAAAGATATGTTCATTTATTTATTAAAACACTTCCAACTACAACATTCAAGAACCTGGTGCACAAAATTGGAATACAACAACTCAAAGATCTTCAGGGTTGAACTAATGCAACAATGAGGGGGAGTAATTGATCAAAGAGGTATTGACATACTATACTCTTTGTCCTTCATCTAGGTTTTGTCCCACTGGGTTTTCTTGGCAAGGTTTTAATGAGGCAGTTTTAACCTATGCAATACCATTTTCAGATGTACAAGAATACTGTACTCTTTTTCTTTCGCTAGGGTTTTGTCCCACTGGGTTTTCCTTAGCAAGTTTTTAACGAGGCATATTCTTAGTGTAGTATATTGTCGTGGACCCCAAGGGGAGTGTTATATATATATATATATATATATATATATATATATATATATATGTAAGTGGGGTCCACTCATATTTATCCCAAATATTAGCTTACAAGAGGAGCTCCTTACTTAGCTTATAGAAGAAACTCATTACTTAGCTCATAGAAGAAGCTCATTACATAGCTTACAAAGGAAGCTCATTATTTAGTTTACAAAAAAAGCTCCTTACTTAGCTTACAAAAGAAGCCCATTTTTGAAGCTATATATATATCATGTGAGCTTGTGTTTGAGTGATGTACTTGACAAGTGAATAAAAGAAAAATTTTCACTTTACTATTTTCTGTCTTATTGTTCTTTGATCTTTGTTTAATTCTCTCTCTTCTTGGTATATCTATAACAATCCTTTTTTTATCAGGAGTACTATTTTTAAACAATTACTTTGCTGACTCTACAGTGATAAATATTTACTTTTCTGCCCCTACTAGTCTTAGACTTTGCCATTTCACTTTGGAAGGTAAGAAAACATTATGGTAATTTGCACTCACACCCCCTTAAGTTTGCAATAAAGACAGGTAGATACAATTTAAAGAGAGTGTAATCCAATTGCATCCTAAGTTTACAAACTTGAATAACAACACCCTAACCATGATAAGAGTACGTAATTGCCCTTTGACCTTTATAAGTAATTTTATTTTACCAAAATGACCCTTAGCCAAAAAAAAAATAAAAGTAAAAAAAAATTTAAATAAAAAACTCCACCTGTGGCTGCTAACGCCATATGCATACAAATAGGGGCGGAACCAAGAATTTTTAATTGAGGGGGGAGTAAGGGGCAAACTAGTTATGTAAAATTAAATTTTAAAATAATATAAAATCACTGTAAGAATTTATTATTATTATTATTATTATTATTATTTTGTGCATGTTTAATGTCCTAGATGAATT